TCATAAAAAATGTTGGTGTAGATGTTTGGAACTCCATTCCACAAGACATCAGACAATCAGGATCAAAAACAACTTTTGCTAAAGCCTAAAAAAATTTATGATTTCAATATACTAGTACCCCCTTCCACTACATATACTATATTATTGGCACACAAAGAACAACAAGAACTCTAACAAAGTTTAAAAGCACTCCACCACCTTTTTTTATCCCCTTTTTAATTTCCCCCCCTTTCCCACAAACAAATAGATTAGAGTAACATTTCAACTATCATATTCGAAACCAACTTTTCTATTTTTCAAAATTTTTGTTCAAAGTTTTATAAAAATGTTATTGTTGTTTATTAATATTGTCTATTGATCTATAATTACTTCAGGCAAAATTCACGTAAGATGGCACATGGCTCGAAAGCCCCTATGGGTTATTTCCATGTGTCATTCAGCTATAACTTTATAGATACGAATAATTATTTTAAATATCTTAACCTTGTGCGTATTGAAGTATAACTGAAATTGTATCGTGATAAATTGTTTGACTAGATCAGTATATTGTAATTAAGCTGAGAATACACATGAAAATTGAAATTGAATTGAAAAATATCGACAAAATTGCTCAAAAGAAAATGGGCTTTTTTACCATAGATGCAAGAGGCAGGCGGCAAATAGACCGGCAAAAAGAAGATCTCCTGACAATCAAGGTTAATATTAATCTAGTGATGTAGATGGGAAAATTCATAAAAGGGGCGAGAAATTTATATTTTCCGACAAAAATTTTACAAGAGCTTTTATTTTTCCAAAATTTTGTACATAACTTCACGTAAGTCACGTGTCAGAAATCATACTACTCGAAGATTAGCTGTACAGGGTGGGGGGGGGGGGGTTCGCCCTGCCAATTTTGTACCATCGCGGTTCCGTTTTTGAACAGGACTGTGTAAACGGGGTCCGAAATAGCCTGATTGTTAAGAGTGTGAATCGCACGCATGAAAGAACTAATGCGTGTGGTATAGGTCTTAAATCAATTATCTTGGTGTTAAATTCTGGAATTATATTCAATTTTACATTAAAAATCAGCTAGAAATTTTCAAATCAAAATTGAAAGAATTTCTCATGAATGATTATATTCTTTGACAATAATGAAGAAATTCCTAAGAATCTCCATACTTGAATTCCTTGCTTCTTCTAATGTAAATTGTTCTTTAGAGGCTTTCTGGTTTTTTCTTGATTTAAAAAAGTTATCTTAGCTGAACTGAACTGAGCTGAACTCAGTTTTCAGTGTCATATTTCAAAATTCCTCTACATACAATACAGTCAAAATATTAAACATCAAAAGCTACAGCATACCAGCTGAATAAAATTAGAGACAAAATAAGACAAATTAGGAACTCTCCCAGTAGCTAGGCTAATCAAGGAGATGATTAACTATTTTACAGATGATTAATGGACTTGGTACAACTAATTTATGACATAAAGTCAGCTCCATAATCTGGCAAAGTGTACTGGCTCTGAACTTAGGACTTCTATGTTTAATGATTATTTTCAAAGAAGAAGGCTTTGGGTTTATGACAAAAGCTACAAGGAGATGGCGAATTTTTTATATCAATGGGAATTTCATTCCAACACTTAGCACCAAAGTAGCGTATAGACCTGAGACCATACTGCACTGTGTCTTTATGAGTTACAAAAATATTGTTCTTGCCAACTTGTCATGTACCATATTGATGAAAAGATCCAACTAATGTAAAGAAAGATCAAAAAAAGGATGGAGAAATCTTATTAAAGAATTGTTGCTAACAATGAGCCATTGCAATGAGACAGTCTGAAATCAATTTTGGTTAATCCTGTGAAGTTTACTCCCATTGTTTGGACGGTTGCCAAGCTCGCAAAGGCCCATTGTTAGCAATGAGGCTTTAACACAGTTCTATACAAAACTAAGCAGTTTCAGCTTAAAGAGATCATGCAGCTTCAAAATCTTTAAGTTAGAGAAAATAGGTGTAGATGGAGAAGTAAAACGTTCAAATGAAATTGCCATTACGACCGTTCTCTGCAACAAGAACACTGGATCTATACAAGTTTCATACATAATACTCCAAACTTAGATACTGTATCGAAGAAATGGCGAGAATAATGAATTGTAGAGAAAAATTAAAACATTATTGGGTAAAAAGTGTCTTACTTTGAAAAACAAACCACAAGTTCTAGAAAGTTTTTTGAAAGCTCTGTCAAGTGATATTTCCAAGAAAGATTTTCATCAAAAAGGACACCAAGGAATTTGACATAACAAGGCAGTGCCTGATTTAGTGTGGTCTTATACACTAATAGTGGTTTTGAAAATCCAAATTGTGGTCATGAAATCAAGAATAAGTGGGAGGATTGTCTCTCTATGCGTTATGTTTATTAAAAAATCTTAAAAGTAAATGTAAATCATAGGTGTAGTGTTCATTCCTCCATGGGGTATTTTTTCATATGATATTCTAATCATTTTATGTCGCGAAAATGCATTTTTTGCCAATTGAGGGTATTCAGTTTTAAAAATTTTCTGGGCCCCCCTAGAGGGGCCTAAACATTTTTAGGCATAATTAGTGGTATTGTAAAAGTCCCTTAAATTAGGCACTGTAACAAGGTTTTTTCACATGGAGGTTTCCAACCTTTACATTAACTGTATCAGAGACAGGATTTTGAAGTGGTTTTACATTAATTGGTTTTATCAAAATTCAATGATAGTTTATTCACTTTGAGCCACATTTTCACTTTTCTAGTTCTTTGTTTACTGTCCTGTGAGGTAGGTCAAGATTGCCAGCGTCATAGTAACTGTTAGAGTGATCTGCTAATAGGTAAAAGGTTAGTTTTGAAGATGAGAAAGCAGTGGCGGATCTAGACAAAAATTTGAGTGGGTTTCTGTATGGGCGTGGTCCCATATTTTTCTGGCAACGCCTTTGACTTTTGTCCAAAATTTGGCGACACCCATTCTTGCTTTTTGATAAGATTCACAATTGCAAGATTTAATTTTAACAAAATATATTATTTCGCAGTGACAATTTCATTATTATTCCAAAGCAAACCAGGAATTGTCATCATGAAATCTAAAAGAATGGTTTCAATTTCTTGCCAAACAGGGGACCTTAATAAATTCCTTACCAAATAATAAACAAGACAAATTTGACAAATAGTCATCAAGATTGTCAAAAATGGATAACGATGGACAAAGCCTCTCATCATATATAGCAAACAAACCCAATTATTAAAAAGTGCAAATTAGGACAAATAAAATCATCTCATCCCATTCTCTACAGCCTTTCATTATACCTTGATAAAGTTGAGGGGCAATTCACTCTTTCAAATAGCGTACAAGATTTTTCGAAAAGGATTTTTGGGGATTTCCAGATGAAGCAATAGGATTTCCACCAAAGGTGTACTGGATTTTTTGGAGTGATTTGCCCCTCAGATAAAGTTCTCACTTTATAGATAAATATATTATGTATAGGGCTTCAAGAGTTCTATAAACTTTGCATGTCAAAGAGAAAATGACTTCAACATTCTTCAGCTTCCTGCCAAGAATTCTCAACTGCTTATTGCAAAATCTCGTGATCGTCCCTTTACAGCTATCTTAAATGGACTTGATCCATGAGCAAAAAAGCAGTGATCAGTCTTCTCCGGGTTAGCTAGCCTTTTGCAAATCAATGAATATACCACAACCAAATTTTCTGTTATCTAACGAGTTCTTGATAGCTTCTATTAGACTAACCAGGGCATGGTTTATGGAATAGCTAGTATGAAAACCAAATTGCAAATTATATAAGATTTCATGTTTTACAAAAAAATTATAAAGATGCTCATACATAACTCTTTCTGAGATTTAACTAGAAGAGAAATAGGTCTATAATTGGATGTTGTCAGTGGGCAACCTTTCATTAAAAGTGGGATTACCTTAGCTAACTTCATCTTTTCAGGAAATACCCCAGACAGAAATGATTAATTTATAATTAGAGAAAGAGGAGTAGATATCACTGGGGAGAAAAATTTCATAATTTTCATAGGTATGCCTAATTTTGCTACACCGAACCAAAACCCTCGGAATGTGTAAACGAGACTGCGAATGTCTAATCGAATGTGTAAACGAATGTCGCATTGTAAATTGCAGACCGGTATGCTGTTAGGTTGCAGAGATTTTCCAGACTTCAGAAGTGAAATCATATCTTATAATAATGAAACAAGTGCAGTAAAGAAGGAATTTCCAATTCTATCAGTCATGAAATCCAAAAGTGATTTATTAGATCATGGTATATTCCTAGTGTTATTGTGAGAAACATTGACAAAGTACTTGTTAAAAATGTTAGCAATAAAGGCAGAATCAGATGAAATGTTACCATTTGAATCTTTAAGCATATTTATCTCATTTACGTTACTCAACTTTCTTATGTCTATGACTGATTTGATGTCTGACCATAATTCTTTGAAAATAGTTATAGAAATAATTAGCTTTACTTTCCTTTGAGCATTCTGAAACCTGATTTCTAAACTTTTTGTAAAGATCTCTTTGCGAGAGACATCATTGTTCATTTTGAGCTTACCAAGCAGCAGCCTATTCCTAATTAATGCGCATCAATTTTTTTATTTTACTATTGTTTATTTAATTTTTTTAACTTAATAACTTAATGTCTCTTAATTTCATAATGAAAGTTCCTCCAAAGGAGCATGACTTTTAACTAAAGTATCAAGGTTGGATAAGAACCTATTGAATTTAATATTGAGATAAACTGAAATACGACTTAGAACTTTCCTGTTCTCAACACCAGAGTGTGTCCAGCTCTGCCTGCACAGCATTAGATACTATATGAAAGACCGCTAAAACAGAAGTTTTCATTATATGCTTACATACATGTCACATCATACATATGAAAACAAAAATGGGACTTAACATATCGGAAACTTTAAACTCTTGGCCAACTTTAAGTACCTATAGGAACTTGACCAAATTACAAGAAATTGGAAAACTTTGAGCATACCATGAGATATACTGGTGTCACTGTTACCACAATATCCACATCTATGCCCTTCACCTTTCCCAAAGTATTCGACGATACTTCCCTCCATTCTTGTTTTCCTTCTTAAAACACAACACAGAACTTCCTTACGCTCCTCCGTTGGAGGTGGACGCTGCGCGGGATGCGGGGTGGTGGACGATGTGCCGCAATTTCTTTTCTCCATCCTTGCATTTTTATTTCATTTCATTGTTTTATTGAAATTCATTCAAGCAGCATCTATATACCAACGTACACATATCATCTTGATTTTCGCCACTTTGCCTTGACACCAGTATTCTATTCGCTGATAAAACCTGATTTTTTAAGAAAAATATCTCAATTAGCGAATGTATCTGAATTTCAAGATGGCTTGAAAAAGTCAGAAATTTGGCAAAATGCAGAAGATTTTCGTTCGACACTCTTTAGAGTATAAAATGTCAGATGGTAGTGTAAAATGGACGTTTAAATTGAGAAGAATGAAACTTTGAAGAAGTGATTTCCGCGAGCGACTGGACTTTTCTTTCCATTTCCATCTTCTAACATTCCAAGACCAATCTTTAATTCAAACGGCTATCATATATATATTTTTATTTGGAATTCTTCCCTGCTCTCCTGATACGTCTAGCTATCTGAATGAGAATTTCGAATAATAATTTGATGATTTACAGGACACTGCCTTATCTGAGGAGAAGGAAACTATAATTATGGGTGACATAAACTGCAATTACCTGAAAGATGCAGATCATCAAAGCATAAGTAATGTTGTAGCTAGCTATGGACTAAAACAGCAGAGTAAGGAAACCCACACGAATAATGTTGTGATCGGTAGTTACGACTAGTAACACACGTGTAGGTAGGCCATCTTTTAATCCACTCACAAACAACTAAAGTCCCATAAGTGGGGAACTGGGTCTAGTATATTATGATACTTATATAGTAATAGGTTATGACATCTCCTTTTCTTGCCGATTCAAATAAGTTGATAGTAACTACGATAACAACAAAATAATAGCAACAACATGATGTGTGCTATTGTTCCTGATCGTGAGTTTGGTATTTTGGAATGTAGTCTTGTAAATATGCTGGTCTTTTTTTCTGTCTTTTGGGTCTCTCTTTGCTTAGTTGGGAGCAACTTGGTGGTGGTCTGCAGTCTGTTCTGGTTGGTGTCTCTGTATGTGAAGTCTGTTGGTTGGTTTCTGTAGGTTTCTATAGGACTTCAGTCTGATCACTGTAGCTTGTTGGTTCTGCTTCTTCTGTAATAGAGTTCTTTAATAGTTCTTCTATCCAACCAATGTCTGGTACACTATACTGGTACTCTTCTTCCGGTCACACATCTCTGTCTTTTTGCATGACAGCATTTGCAAGTTTTATGTGGCTTGCGTTCCTCATCAGTTCTCGTCCATCTAGTAGACATCTCACCGTAACTCTAGATCCTTGAATTTTGGTAATTACAAAGAATGCGGGTTTATATGGTCTGGACCACTTGTTGGTTTTCCTCTGTTTCAGGATTCTATATTAACCTTTTATGAAACTGTGAGCCTTTGCTGATCAATTGTTGTTCATCCTAGCCTTGTACCGTTCATCTCGTTCATTGGTTAGCGGACCCTGTCTGTTCGGTTCGTCGTTGATAGTCCGTATTGTTCGGCTGTTCATAGCTTCGTAAGGTGACACACCGGTGGCTGGGTGTGGCGTGCTCCGGTATGCAATTAGCATGTCTTGTGTTGCTATGTTCTTCTCCAGTTTGTCTTTGCCTTGGAGTTGGGCTATCTGTTCTGTTTTGTTTAGGAACTGCATAACGCGTTCCGACTCTCCGTTGGCCCTCGGATGGAAGGGTGTTGTGTTAACCCTTCGTTCTCAGCAAACTCTGTAAATTCTTTCGTCATTGGTATCCCAAAATTCACACTTCTTAGCTTTTTTTTCAGTCGTGCCGTGTAACCTGTGATTGATTCGCCGTGGTTTGGTCTCTCTTTAAGAAACTGATATCGAGCGTGGTGTTTGTTTTGTCTTGGTACAAAATAGTTGTCCAATTTGGTTTTTCAGCTTTTCATAAACATATCCGTCCGCTGTGACTGGTAAACTCTTCTCCAACCTTGCAACGTCCTTTCCCCCGTAGATGATTAGAGCGTCTTTCTTTTCAATCGGGTCAGCAATTTTGAAGTAACGGAATGCTCTTTCGATGCCGTCGAACCAATCTTCCTACTCGCGTGTTTCCCAGTCGCCTTTTGTGATGATGGTTCGAGCTTTAGGAGTGATACATCTTATCTTGTTTTTTCCTTTATCTTGCTTAGGAGTACTGATGGTCTATCATTGATGATAGCTTTCACTGTATGTTCTGCATCTTCATCATTTGTGATTAGTAAAGGATTACGTGACCAAAAGTCCAAAGTCCCTTGTTCATCTTTTCCGGCAACGTACTTCATCTCAATATCAACGTCTTGCATGGCCATTACCCATTTCTCTATGCGGGGTGGTAGGTTAGCTGTTGCTTTGTTAAAGAGTGTTGACAGTGGTTTGTATGTTGTGATGATATTAAATGTGGTGCTCCAAGTAGGTAGATGCTGAATCTTTCTTTGGCCCATTTTACGCATAGTGCATTTTTGTCTGTCTGGCTATATTTCTTCTCAGTGTCTGTCAGCGTTTTACTTATAAAGTGAACTGGTTGTCATCCTTTCTCGGTCGTCTGGAATAGTTCGGCTGATAGTCTTTTGTTGTTAATGGCTTCTGTCCTGACCATTATCTGTAGCTTTGGGTTGAAAAATGCAATCACATCCTGGCTGGATATGCTGCCTTTAAGCTTCTGAAAAGCTTCCTCCTCGTCTTCATTCCAGTGAAATTGTGTTTCTTTTAATGTCAAGTCTCTCAGTGGCGTATCGAGGGATAAACGTGAATAAGTATCCGGTCATGCCGAGGAAACTTCTGGTCTTGTGCATTTCTTCGAAGCTTTAACCTTCTCTTCTGTAGACCTTGTGAAGAGAATTTGTATCCATAGAATTCAATCTCACTTCTTCCAAACTGGCACTTTTCACGGTTTAGAGATATACCGAAGTCGTCAGCTCTCTGAAAAACTTCTTTCCAGTCTTTTGCTCCAATGAGTTTATCAGCCCTTTCGTTTAAGCAGCGTGGGATGTCGCCGTATATCGGAAAGGGGGAAATCTTTGAAATGCCCTCGTCTGTTGCACATGAAGCTACTGTTAAATGTCGCTGAAAATTTGAATCATCATAAGAAAAATAAACTGGACGTAGAGGCAGTGGTCCATGATGCAAGCATGCTTTTAGGCCTAAGTGATGAGGTGACATAATGCCTGTGTTAATTAAAGAATAAAATGGATCTCTCAAGTTGTCTGGTAGCAAAATTCATGGAAAAAACTCCAGAGACTTCGACAGATTGCTTGGATTCAGAACATCATCAGCCGCATACCCCAAGCTTTACTACTACCTCGCCCCAAACATTCCCAGTTTCCAAGGAAATTTGCAGCTCCTTTCTCCATCTGGCTTCCTCCTTTGTAGAGGTTCAGAAAGTTGTCGAAAAGGAGAGGGAAATAAATCGATGTTTACTAATTGAGAACGCTAAATTTATATCGCAACTAGGAGATTCTGCCGTAACGGTTGAAAGCCCAAGCAGGTGTGAAAGTCATTCAAACCCCGACAATAAAGCTATTGAGAACAAACAAAAACAATTGTCCTTGAAGATATCAGATCGAAAAAAACGAATGAAACTGCTGAAAACAGAGCTAGAACCAACAGAAAAGGGAAATTGAAGAAAAAATTTTTAACTCTTCGCAAGAAGAGATAAGTACATCTTCAGACAGTAAAACAGACCTAGAAATTGCCAATGAAACCGTCAACTCCTCTGCCACTGCCTCTAGGTCAAGGAAAAACAAACAATCGGTGAAAGACAAGGAAAACACAGATGATAACAACATCGAATCTAGCCAAAAATCAGCGAAGAAAACTCCCAGCGTTGGATCAAATTCGCAGCAAACAGATGTGTTGCTAGCCAACCACAGTCATCGACATCCAGCACAGATAACCAAGGAGCAAGGCCAAAAAACACGGTTCTTATCGCAGGAGATAGTATGTTGTCAAACATTCACAAAAACACCCTAAGTCAGCGATACCACACAAAGGTGCGATGCTTCAAAGGTTCTACGATCGCTGATTTGTATGACTATTTGAAACCGTTGATCAAAAAGAAGCCCGCAAAAATCATCCTAATGGTTGGAGCAAATGATTTGGTGAACCCTATCAGCCGCTGAAATGACGAAAAGCATCAAGTCCCTCTGTGATTGGATACTTTCATCCATTCTAGACTGCAATATTATCGTTTCTGAAGTTGTAAGGCGTGAAGATAAAAAGTTCCTTAATGGAAAGATTAGTGAATTCAACCGTGCTTTGAAGATGATGAACATGGACATTCTGCGCCAACAAAACATCACAAGTACGTATCTGGGTAAAAAAGGGTTACACCTTCATTTTGAAGGCAACAGACGACTTGCCAAGAACATCATAGAAAAACTTCGAACAATATCTTTATAGCAAAGAGTATATTCATGTAATGACGGGGAGGGTCTGGTCCCTAATTTCGCTATAAACACAAGTTCCATTTCAAACTCAGATCCTGTCAACAATTTTAGTAGTGTCGATGCAAATTCCGTTCAAGGGCCTGTTATTTGCCTTTCGAGGAGAAGAATGGGTCTGACCATGGCATCATTAAATGTAAATAGCTTCATCGCAAAGATTGATGAAATGCGGTCGCTTGCAAAAAACGAAAACATTGATATTTTGGCTATAAATGAAACCAAAATCGATCACAAAATTATGACAGGCTTATCTCATTAGATGATTTTTCTCTTTGTAGATATGACAGGAGGAGGCAAGGAGGTGGCGTTGCTCTCTATGTCAGAAATATAGTCAGGTTTAAACCCTGGATAGATCTTCCTTATAAATCGCTTGAATTGATTTGCATAGAGTTAGAACCCCCGAATTCAAATCCATTCATTGTCATAGCTTAAGTGAGCCTATTTCTTGCTTTGACAGCCTTCATAAAAACCTGAGTTTTCTTGATGAAGAGGGGAAAGAAATTTCTGTCATAGAGACATTACTCCGAGCCATATTATGCAGTTACGTGAGCTGTACGACCATTTTGATATGAAGCAGATAATTAAAGAGCCTACTAGGGTCACACTAAACAGTTCAACTTTGATTAATCATATAGCTACCACAAACTGTAGCAATATTACAGAGAGTGGAGTGCTTAAGGTTAGTCTTAGTGACTATTATCTTGTATATTGTGTTAGAAAGCTGCGTGGTGGTGTTAAAGACCAGCACAAATATATTACATCTCGTCAGTTGAAGAATTTCAATCAAGAGGCTTTCCTCTCAGATCACTCGTAGCAGATGCTCAAGACATTGATGATGCAGTACGCAAGTGGACCCAAATATTTTCGCTTATTCTAGAAAAGCATGCGCCTACATTAAGAAGACGCGTGTCTGATAGATATACGCTTTGGCTCAATGCTGATTATTTCAAATTGGCTAAAGCGAGAGATAAGTTAAAAACTCGAGCTGTAAAAAGCAACTCACAATTGTTGATGGAATCCTACAGGCAAATTCGTAACATGTTAAATGACTTAAACTTAAACGTGAGTATTTTTCTGAAAAAATCACGCAGTTTTGAGGTGACCTCAACAAAACATGGAAAACCATCAACCAAGTCATTAACCAAAAGTCGAGCACTACGCACTACAGCTGTGCCTAACCTTACTGTAGACGGGCAAACAATTAGGAGTAGCAAAGCAATTGCATCATCAATGAATGAGTACTTCTGCAGCATTGGGAATAAACCTAGTGAGAAAATTCCAAATAAGGGCAATCCACTCTTTTCTAGCGAATACCTGTTTGAAACTCCTCCATTAAGTTTCTCTTTTTCTGCCATCATGACCGATAAATTATCATCAACCTTGAATAAGATGAAGACATCGCATGTTTCAGGTCACGATGGCATTGTGAGGTTATTTTTGAAGATTGCTTTGTCAGTTGTTGGCGGGTCCTTGTGTATTGCACCTATCTTCAAGAGTGCTGCAAAGGAAGACAGGTTGAGCTGTAGACCGACATCAGTTCTTCCTTTCATATCTAAGCTATTTTAGAAATTAATTTTCAATCAGTTTTATGAATACCTGGATGCAAATGAATCACTATATGCTCTAATCTTTATTGACTTGAAGAATGCTTTCGACACGGTTGATCATAAAATCCTACTGAAAAAACTGAAAATGTACAGAGTGACCGGCCTGGAACATGACTGGTTCACATCATACTTGTATAACCGTAAACAATTCTGCAGGGTAAATGGCACTTCCTCTGATGTGAGGGAATAAATTATGGAGTTCCTCAAGGCTCTTGTCGTGGTCCACTCTTATTCTTGATTTACATCAATGATTTGCCTTTTTCATTGCAAAAATCTAATGTCAGCATGTATGCTGATGACACGGCCATTTCCCTCTCTTCAAAAAGTATTGATAACTCGCAAAATGACCTAAACTTAGATCTTTTGTAGCTACAGGATTGAATGCATGCAAGCAAACATTTCCTGAACGTTGTGTAAACGCAATCACTTGTTATTAGCTCTGGTCCAAACATCCGTAAGATCGAAAGCCAGCCTGATGCTCCACCATCTTTTTCAATAGATGATCAGGACATTGAAATGATTACCAACACAATATACTTAGGTGTTCAGATAGACAGTAAACTTAACTGGGACAAGCATATCGATACTGGTGACAACTTTTATTCCATCTTTACGTTCTCTTTTTATAGCCTCAGTTTTATATGATATTGTAAATTAGGTTAGAATAGTAAATTTATTTTGTTATTTTGTTAGTATTAGTGCTTATTTTAATCTTTTAAACAGGTCAGATTGAAAAACATACATATGTATGAACCCTCAAGCTGTATAAATATTATAAAATGTAAAATTAGATGAAATCCTGTGTTAAGATGTGAAGGAGATAGAACAACGCATGGGTTGAACAAAAACAAAACGATATCTTTATATTAACTTCAAACGGCCTACACACATAACTGCAATACTGTCAACTGTAATCTGAAACTATATAAACATGGGTCACATAAAGTAATGCTCCTGCGCATAGTCAATTAGGTTACTACATCACTCCTCCTTTTAAAGAAGTTTTTTTTCGTATACTGTTTACAAAGTGTCCAATGGTATTGGTTCACCATATCGTACTGGTGCATAACGTTTTCTAACTAGTCTTTCAGCAGGTCTAGGAACCTCTTGTTCACAAGCGTATGTGGCTCGATTTGATTGATTGGCATCTTCGGAATCCGACATCTGAGCGCGTAATTTTTTAAAAAATGATACGTTGCGAGTTACACGACGATGATTACTGTCTTCTGCAGTTATCTGCGTACCTTTACGGTTTACGACTTTGTATTGCGTTTTGCTGAATCGTGTCGTTAGTTTGTCCCTTTTTTGTTGGCGGACAAGAACAGTATCTCCAACTTGAAGGTTGCTCTTCCTTGCTTTTCTGCGTTTGTTTGCATATGTTTCTTGGTATGATCGACTGCGTTCCTCGTTTATTCTAGCTTCTTTGTGTCGATTTATTACGCGATGCTTCTCTAAAGTAGGGAATTTTCCTTGCACTTTCCTGTTGAATAACAACTCTGATGGCGCAATTTTCGTTGTGCTGTGAGGTGTATTACGATACTGGAACAAGAAACGGTTCAGTTCTTGTTGCCATACCTTACCATCTGCCACTGCGCTTTGTACGGCTTTGATGAGAGGCTGATTAAAGCGTTCGACTTCTCCATTTGCCTGCGGCCAGTAAGGTGTGACAGGTTTATGGTTTATACCGAGGATATTTACATATCGTGCAAACTCTTCACTCGAGAATGGTGGACCGTTATCTGTCTTTAATTCACGTGGTATGCCGTGTACCGAAAATATTTTGTCCAGCTTCGGAATGACAGTTGATGCTTTCGTGGATCGCACAATTTCGGTTTCCGGAAATCGCGAATAACGATCAATGACGACTAAAAGATGATCTCCTGAAGGAAGCGGTCCACAGAAATCGATATGAACAGTTTCCCATGGTCCTTTAGGAAAATCAGTTTGTTGCAGAGGTTCTGGTGGCGATGGTTTGCCGACAATTTGACAAGTCAGGCACGAATCTAGGGTATGCTGAACTAGGTTGTCCATACCTGGGAACCATACTTTTTCTCGTAATAGACTTTTTGTTTTGGAAAGACCTTGGTGAGCTTCATGGGCAATATCTATAGCTCGTTGCTGAAGTGACTCTGGTATAACTAAACGTGTTCCTCTCAAAACAATTCCCTTCGCACCAACAGTGAGCTCATCGTTGATTGCACAATAAGGCTTTAAACGATCAGATGCTTGCCATCTATTTGTTCGTATAGCGGCTCGCAATGCTTGCAATGTCTTGTCAGTGTTGGTAGCACTCGCTATTTCGTCTAGCGACATAGCTTTAGGCACAGAGTGACTCGTAATCATGTTTACGTACTCCTCCGCAATTCTTTCTTGTTTTCGCGATTGTTGACTGGAGGGGTGTCTGGATAGATAATCAGCAGAGTTCTCGCTTCCTGCCTTGTACTGCACTTTAAACGAATAAGGTTGTAGTCGCGTGTAGCCAAACGATGGCTAGAGCCTCTTTTTCCGTTTGCGAGTATCGTTTCTCAGTATCGGACAGTCCACGACTGGCGTAAGCAACAACCTTGTAATCATCTCTGTTCTTGGTTGCTTGACTCAAAAATGCAGATACACCTACGGGACTTGCGTCCACCGTAACGAAAGTTTCTTTATTGGTATCGAAATACGACATTACGGGAGCTTCAGACAGAGCCAATTTTATGTTTTCAAATGCTTTCTGTTGAACTGCTTGCCATACGAATGGTGTATTCTTTTTTGTCAACTCTCGAAGTGGTGCAGTGAGCGTCGCAAAATCTTGGATGTACTTAGCACTATAGTTTGCCATTCCGAGCAGGCTTCGTACCTCTTTGATGCTGGTAGGTATTGGTGCATTCTGAAGATCGCTTATGCGTGCTGGATCTGGCTGCGTACCATGTTCTGTGAAAATTTGCCCATAAAACTGAATTGATTTCTGTAGAAAGTTACATTTCTTGAGATTTAGCGTAAGGCATTTTGAATGCAGACGTTGCAAACAATTTTGCAAAGCTAAATCGTGTTCCTTGCGAGTTTTGCCAAAAACTACGATGTCATCTGCGATGTTCAGCACTCCATTTATACCTTGTAAAGTTTCTTGTAAAACATGCTGGAAAATTTCCATAGCAGCATTTGTCCCATAATTGAGACAAGTGTATCGATAAAGTCCTACGTGTGTGCTGAAGGTAGTGATAAAACGACTGTCTATGTGTAATGGTAGCTGGTGGTAAGCTTGGTTTAGATCCAATTTACTGAAATATTTGGCACCATTGAGTTGAATGCTGATATCATTCAATGTAGGGATCGGATAACGTACACGTTTTATTGCAGTATTTGGCACACGCATATCTACGCAAAGACGAACAGATCCATCCTTTTTCGGTACTACGACGATTGGAGATACCCACTGCGAAGGCGCGTTTTCTGGTACAGCTTCAATGATCCCCTCTTTTTCCAGCTGGGTGACAGCTTCTTTAACTTTCTTTCTCAAATGAAAAGGAATTCTCCTTTGCGGTTGTGCACGTGGTATTGCCTTTTCGTCGATGTTTAGCTTCACCGAGTACCCCTTCAGTTTACCAGTTCCTTCAAAGACTTTGTTGAAACGTTGAATAATGGCATCAATTTGCGGATCAATATGTTTTGTAGGGGTTGCTGAAACTGAAAGTTTGTTCAATTTCAGCGTTATGACTCCAAGTTCTTGTGCTGTATTGGCTGAAAGTAAACAACCAGCATTACGATCTTTTAGGACATAAAATGTTGCAACTCCATAGCGAGATTTTGTTGTGATCATCGATTCAAATTTTCCTATAAAACAAACTGGTTTCGAAGAGTTGAATGGAAAAGCTTTTATTTTGGTTTGTTGTAACTTGACTCCGTGCATCTTTTCGAAAGTATTTCTATCGATAACGTTGATTGTGGATCCGGTATCCAATATCATGTTGAACTTGTGACCCTCGACCACAACATTAACCACAGGGCTGCGTTTTGATAATTTGTCGTTGCCATTTGAGACCGTGTACAGGTATTCCTCGTCACTAGAATTATCCTCATGCTGCAAAGGTCTCACCGCTGCATGTGATTTGCGAGAATGTGCAGGACGTCTTTGTTTCTGCTTCGAGAATTTTGAGCTCCTACAAACTGATTGAAAGTGGTTCGGTTTGTTGCACTTGCGACATGTTTTCCCTTGTGCGGGGCACTGATTTTTGTGCGGCCATTCTCCTCCACAATTGCTGCAAGTCTTGTTATCAGACTTCGATTGCAAGCGGTTCGTTGTTTCTGTGTGTACGTGGGTGGTTTCTATATCTCGGGCTTGATACGAACTGGTTTCATTCCGTCTTCCATCGATTAGCATGTCTTTAAGGGTATACGTAGGGTCACGCAAAGCTCGGCGTCTTATACGGGAAGATCGACCCCCTATAATTATTTGTTCCTCGATTTCAAAGTCTACATCTTCGAATTCGCATGTACTGGATATCTGCCTGAGTCGTGTATGAAAAGTATCGAGCGATTCTTGATCTCCCTGACGAGTTTCACGAAAACGATAAACTTCATACCGTCGATTTTTCTGAGGCTCGAAGTACTCAATGAGCTTGGCTTTTGTTGTCGCAAAGTTGTCTTCATCCCCTTCTCCGTTGACATCACTCAACTGGTTAAAAATTTCTCGAACTTAGGGTCCAGCTTGGTAAAGTAACAAAGCTTTCTGGCGCTTAGCGTCTCGAATTCCGCTAGCCACAAGAAAAGTATCAAAATCACGTAGCCAAAGTTTCCATCTGGCAGCAACACTCGCTCCAAGTTCTGCATTCGGGTCGAACGGTGGTAATGGATTGAGTTGTACAGACATTCTCGTCGCCAATGTTAAGATGTGAAGGAGATAGAACAACGCATGGGTTGAACAGAAACAAAACGATAACTTTATATTAACTTCAAACGGCCTACACACATAACTGCAATACTGTCAACTGTAATCTGAAACTATATAAACATGGGTCACATAAAGTAATGCTCCTGCGCATAGTCAATTAGGTTACTACATCCTGCATATCATGATCGAAAAGGTCTTGCAACGCTTTTGCTCCGAATACCATTCTTTTTGGTCTGTAATTACCCCCACGTTGTGCTGAAGGTTGCCATGGATCTGGATTCGCGATCAATTCAAGCTGGTGATATCCTTGGCGTAAGTCTAACTTTGACCATATGGTGCAATCATGGAACTTGTTTACAAAGTCTTCTTCTGTTCTTAGTTGTGTTATTCTGCTCAGCTGTTTATAGCTTTGTAAGGTGACACATTGGTATGGCGTGTTCCGGTATGCAATTAGCATGATTGCTAACCTACACGAAAAGCACCTGAATCTTGTACCCTTATTGACGTTATTGTCTCCACCCACCCAGGGAATGTAAAATCATTGATAGTTATTGGTTCATCCTTCAGCGATCATGACGTAGTTGCATTAGTCAGGAAAATAAATTGTTAACGGACAAATCCAAGGGAAACTCTTTGCAGAAATGTTAATAGATACTGCCGTTAGACCATTCAGAGGGACCTAAAATCAGTCTCGCGGGATGATATAATGATGCAAGATGATGTGTAAACCCCTATAACAAGAGATTCCAATTTAAGCCAGTAACAATAGGCGAAGTCATGAAAGTGATCATGTCCTTAAAACGTTCGAAGTCCCTTGGAATATATCACTTTCACCCAGGAAAGGTAAAGAATGCAGCAAAGGAAATTATCCACCCTCTCCTCCACTTAATAAATCTTTCTTTGACAATGTTAACCGTATCCTTAGAATGAAAATTAGCGCGATATGTTCCCATATTCAAAGGTGGAGATGCAAAGGAATTTGACAACTACAGTCCAGTCTCATTGCTCTTTGTTTTCTCAAAAATCCTAGAAAGGGCTGTTTCCAATCAGCTTTATGAGTACCTAGCGATTAACAGATTTCTTTCATCTCAACAGTTTGGATTTAGGAAAACATCGATCAAAATCTTCCGCAGTTGTCTACTTCACTGATATTGTGAGAAAAAACATGGACAATTGCCCTGTTTATAGACCTAAGACAAGCTTTTGACACTGTTGACCACTGCCTCTTTGAAAGCTTCCTCTCTACGGAATTGAGAAAGCAGAGAGAAGATGGGTTCAAAATTATCTTGCACAGAGATCACAAATTGCCTGTTTTGAAGGATTGATATATTCAAGAATAGATCGCTGTCGATTATTAGGCCACTTCCTAACTCTGTTTTCTGCATCTATGAATCACGAGGGCGTTTTTTTTATTAACTCAACTTAGGGTAGGATTGAGCAAACTAAAGTTTCACAAATTCAGTCATAATTTTAGTGAAACAATCAACCCGATGTGTCTGATGAACGATGGTCTCGAGGATTCGGAGCACTTTATACTGTCGTGCCATTCTTTTGAAGAACACAGATATGACCTCCTGAACCTTTCTGAACTGGCGTCTTGGAGTTCTAATACTAACTAACTCTCAATCCTACGTACTAACATAAGAAGTCTGTCTCGTCATTGCGATTATTTGGTAACTGTGCGTGCAAGCTAAAAAGTCTTTTGATATCATTGGAGTTTCGGAGACATGGAGCTCTTTACAAAGCAAAATACTTACTAATGTTGATATAAATGGCTATAAGCTTTATGATACAGTATTAAAGAGCCAAAACGGAGGTGTTGGTTTATATGTTGAAACACCTCTTAATTCTTGCACTCGTGAGGGTCTAAGCTGAAGTTGTGATGGCTTTGAAACTGTATGGGTTGAAGTTGAAAATAAGAATAAAAATAATTTCTTATTCTGTTGTGTATACAGACACCCGAATTAGACATGCTACTTTCTCATCTTAATTTCGTTTTGCCAAAATTAATTAATAAAGAAGTTTTCATTATGGGTGATTTCAATGTTAATCTACTAAATTATGACTTGCATACGCCTACGTTTGACTTCATTAATACTTTCTTCTCAAATAACGTTTTACCACGCTTAAATCAGTCAAAAAGGAATTCCAATGTTTCATCGACAATCATTGACAATATATTTATTAACTTAACTCATGCTCAAATTACTAGTGGCACTTTATTTTGACACATATATCGGATCATTTCCCTCAGGTTCTAATAGTCATCATCAGGTACAATCTTCTATCAGACCCTCCATGACCCTCCAGCTATCCCAAAATCTGAGTTTTGGTTCGTTGTCCTGGTCATAAATAGTAGTAGAAAGTAGAAAATGTAGTGAATATAATAGTAGAAAATGTCAAAACTTCCAAAGAAAAAGACGAAATTTTATAACATGACTATTCATCTTTTAATGAGAGAGATTCTATA